CGCTGATTTAGACACGCTAAGTGGCGCCAATATATTACTAGTGCTAATTAACATGTAAGATTTTGAACAAGAGAACAGGAGTAAATAGTGGCGCCGATATATTACTAGTACTAATTAACAATTGGATTATGAGCTTGACATTTCTATGAGGTGATAGTTTATGAGGTCGAAGGCCGAGTCAACTATCGCCTCGTAGAAATTGAGAGCGAGTAATCTAATTGTTTTAGTAGAATATTCTTACTGAAAATTCCTTCAAGTAACGATTCAAATCTCATCTTATTTATAGATGGAATGGTTCCTGTTCGGTCTCAGCGACTCTTCAATCATGAAATTTATTACCTTAGGTGACTGATTTGACTCGATTGCTAGCCGGTTTGGAAATCCGGCGGTTGGTCCTGTATCACACTACAATGTTATCTCTCCTCTTATTTTGTTCTCCAGCTTCTTAGCGGTCTGGAATCCTAAATCCTTGAATCTGATTGGCTAGTGGCGCGCTCTCCAGCGGTCCTGATTTTCGTATCAGGACCCCGAGTACGGACCGCTTCGAAATTTCCAACATAAGCAACTTTTCAAGCTTTTTGTTACCTCGTAAAACAACGTAAAATGCAAACATTCAACACAGAGTCAAACAATTTCGCTAACAGTATCGCTTTTTGTGCCCGAAGTGTAAACGCACGCGTACGCCAGATTTGAACTGAACGGCTATAATGAAAATTCGACCTTAAAGTTGCTTTCAAAGTTATCCCGTAGAGAAAAAAATTTCCCCTTTTTTTCCGGGCCGTGAGGTCCATATTGGGAAAAACTGTGCCCTCGGTCGTGCACAGTTTTTCCCAATACGGAGATCCGTATGCATGGATAGTATGTAGCATATAGTATATAGTAAGTTAAGCTTCTGTCACCAGACATTTCCCATAGCAGTGTAACACAAGTTATATTTTAGTATCTTACTATATCATAATAAATTTGATAAGAGTATAATACCCAAAAATAACTTGATAACTTTACTTGTGTGTAACTACGCGTATTTTGTAGACAATGCAATAGGCCACTTTCGATTTGCCTTTTGCCTCTGTGTCGACCATTCATATGGAAATGTGCTCCGCCTACAGGTTCATTTTCACGTAAATCAAACTCATTTTCACATGAAAGGTTATGCACTAGGACTTGTTTTGAAACAGAGGTACAGGGAAACTCGGAAATGGCCTATTACATAGGCGGCGGAGCAAGGGAGGAAGGGGGGCATTGGATAGTGTTTTTGTTCTTGTTGGTCTTGCCCGGGGGACCGTCTGATTTGGGGTACAGCTGGCCTGGGGTTTTCCTCTTAGGAGCAAGTGGACGTACGGAGACGTTTTTCACCCAGCTGTTGTTCCACTACCGCTTTTCAGTTAGCTTTTGCTGTTTTTGATGCCTGTACGGTTAATTTCTTCGCATCAGTAGTTTTTGCTGTCAGAAGTATTTTTCCTTTACATAGTGCAATAAACGAACGCTGCTCTTGAAGCGAGCAGCACCCAAGTCAGGGTTGTTGTTGTTGTAGCCTGCGTCGCAGACAGTCTAAACCGCCGGTATAGTCCGTCTGCGCAACGTCTCCCAAAAGCTTGTTCTGATATCCC